AGAGTTTGGACAAGTTTTGAAGTTTTGGCAAATTTCAAAATCCGAGTCGCTCCGGGCCCGACACCTTGATCTTGCAAAGAACGCAGAGCCTCGCAGGAGCGAGGTAACTCTCTTATTTTTGCGCCAAAAGACGCGCCTTTCAATTTAGAACAACAATTAATGTGTAGAATTTTAATTTTTTTCCTTATCGAGGAGAAAAAAATTAGTTACCGAAAAAAGGTCGTTTTGGCCCAAAATCGGCCAGGTCATAGGAACCTAACTTTGCCGTAATTCACTCAAAAGACCTGAACATATAGTTTTCTAGGTAAAATTCGACGCTGAATATGATGGAGCTATAAAAAGGTCATATTCGGACTCAGCGTGAAATTCTCTATCCGAATATGTGTATTAAAAGCGGAAATAAGATGTTGCTCCTCCTTTGAATTAGCGGCGCCTTACCTTCTTTACAAATTAATATATGCTTTAGAAAAACGTTCACAATCAAAAGTGTGTTTCTTCCCATCCAAAAAGGGTTAGATGAATAAAAAAAGAATAAGAAATTAGTATATAAAATATCATGCCTAAATTGTGAAAAATGCTACATTGGAGAAACTGGTAGAGAGAAGGAAACTAGAATGAAGGAACATCAGTCAGACATAAGAAAACAAACTGAATCCTCGAATGTGGCTAAACGCGCTAATAAAGAAAATCATTCATTTGATTTTATGCGATGTAAAACTTTAGCACTCGAGACAAACTGGCGAAGAAGAATTTATAAGAAAGCCTATATACATATTGCGGACAAACTTTAAATTTGGTCAAATTTTAAATTTGTCCGGAAATTTAAAGTTTGACCAGAAATTTCTTGGACAAACTTCAAATTTAGATTTTGTCCGGTCAGAATTCAAATTCTTCTACGTCATTTAGCGATTTCCTTGCATCTGATGTGTATGTTGTGGACAAACTTTAAATTCGGTCAAATTTGTCCGGACAAAATTCAAATTCAAAGTTTTTTTGTTTTTTTTGAGATTTTTAGTCAAAATTCAAATAATAACAAAAATGGTGGGATGAGCGGTAAAAAAGTACATATTGCCTTTAATTATTCAATTTTATCGTAGAAAAAGTCAAGAAAAGATATAAAAGCTTGTTCAAAAGTGGATGATACTTTACAAGTAAAAATGAATTGAGTTGACATCACTATTTATATGAAATAAGCTAGAGAAAAAGCAATAAAATATTCGAATTTTGAACAAAGTAAGTCACGGCATATGTGTTAAACAAAAACAGAAAACGAAATAGATTATCATAGTGAATAAAGAGCAGAAAAATAGAGAAAAGAAGAACGATAAAGGTCGTCGTCTATAGTAGCTGAATAGTATTGTTGTACTGACTAGAAAGTATATAACCTATCTTTATGTGTTATGGAAAAGAAAGAGAAATAAAGTGAAATAGTATAAGATAATAAAGAAAATCAACTAAGAGAGAGAAGAAATAGAAGAGAAAAAACTTTCTGCGAACATAGTACTGTTATGAACTGTACTATAAATATAGCGCGGCACTTGACTGTATTTATCAATTTTATATCAGTAATTTTACTTATTCAGTAACATTAACATGACATCAACAGCAGCTTTGCCTTCATCTTCTTCCATGACTACGAATCCACATGAAAGTCAAGAAAAATTGTTTTATAATGAATTAGGCAAGTATATTGATTCCTTGAGCGAAAATTTTAAAAAAAAGTGCGTAATAAAAAAAGAAATTTACGATAATATTACTAAAGTATTAACGCTAGAAAAGGGTAAGTCATCAGTTTCATTATCTTCACAGTTCGTTTATTGGGCATGTCAGAATTTTGTTTTGTCGAAAATTGCGGGTAACGATATTGTATGCTGTGCTAAAGCTAAGAAGCCTGTTTGTATTTTTGAATCGTTTTACAATGTAATCGGTGAATGTCATAATAATATATCACACGGTGGTCGACATAAAACAGTTTATGAAATAAATTCTCACTATTCTTGGTTACCTCGTTTTGCTGTTGACATTTTCGTGAAACAATGTTTACCATGTCAGTTACATAAACCAGTTAAACATCATGTTGTATCAAAACCCATTATTTCTTTGGGTGTAATGACACGTTTACAAATTAATTTGGTAGATATGCGCACCAGACCAGACAAAGTTTCAGAAAATGTTGTTTATAATTGGATTCTTAATTGCATAGATCATTATTCCAAATTTTGTTGAGCATTTCCATTAAAAAATAAAACGGCGGTTGATGTGTCAGTTAAATTGAGAGAATTGTTTTTTACATTTGGTCCACCTCGTTTGTTGCATAGTGATAATGGTCGAGAATTCATTGCGAACGTTATAACAGAGTTGAAGTTGTTGTTTCCCAATATGTGTTTTATACGCGGTAGACCAAGACATCCACAATCTCAAGGTTGTATTGAGCGTGCCAATGGTGTACTCTGTGATGCATTAGGCAAATGGATGACACAAAATGATACAACTCATTAGTCTGAAGGACTATTACCTGTTGTCTATGGTATCAACACACGTATGTCTAGCACAATTAAAACAAGTCCTTATCAGGTGATGTTTGGACAAGCGCCGAGATCGGATAGTGATTTTTGGAAATTAGTTGCTCAAGATGAAATTTTGGATGAGGAAGATTTACCAACTCCCGTTGCTTTGCATGGTGATGTTGATGATGATGTAGTAATTTCAAAAGGACAAGATACCACGTGGGATGATGTTATTGATCCTGATGTTACAAAACTTGTTCAAAAATTAACTACGAGGCTTTATCAAATTCATTAATTGGTATAATATCACCAACAAGAAACTGTACGTCGTCTACCGGTATTAATAATTCATTTGTTGATAATCTTATGTCTTTCGATTCACCACCAGAAAATACTGCATCTACTTCAAGTTCAAAAACAAACAACAGTGATTTACTCTCTCTTCTTCTTGACGACGTAGATTTTAGTTTAACGCCTACTACTGTTCATTCCACACAAAATGCATTGAGTATTTTAAATGAAATAACATCACCTGATTTTCTTTCTTTTCCGAATTCAAATGATTTTTCTTCTAAAACAGTCACCTCTTCTCTTGACCTTAGTTTATCATCAACGCGACCTTCTTCATCTTCTTTACCATCAACATCATCTAGACATGATCTAAGACGGCAGACCGCAACAAATAGTTATTTAACTAGCGCGTCAAAACGAATGAAATTACATCATAATTACGTTGATAAACTAACAGACAAATTTAATATAAGTGATTGTGTTGGAGTCCAAATTCATACTGCCGCTCGTACTAACACGGACCCCAAACTTTTACCTTGTATTGTTATTTAAAAAAACAAAAAGGGTGACTCCACTGTTTTTAAATTGGCGTGTCAATATGGTGTACTACAAAATTCATTCTCAGTTGATCATTTTGTTGAATTAAAATCTTCTTGCCCACAAGTTTTAAAAGAATTGAATATTGGTGAATTGAATGATATAAGTTTCATTGAAGCATATAAATTGTTTGCTAGAGGATCAGTTAGTGGTACAACGTGTGATTGTAAAAGCAAATGTGCAACAAAACATTGTCCGTGGAAAAGAGCTGGAGTGCTTGTTCTACAAAATGTCCTAGTAAAAAAGGGGCCTGCAAGAATATGGGGGGATTAAAATGAGCATTGCTTAAACTGTACATTGTTGTTTTTTTGCTTTGAGAGCTACACGTGTTGTGAAAAATAATGAAATGTAAATATTTTGATTGAAAGATGACTGGAAAGATGAAACCAAGAGCATGTTTTTATATCTTTTCTTGACTTTTTCTACGATAAAATTGAATAATTAAAGGCAATATGTACTTTTTACCGCTCATCCCACCATTTTTGCTTTTATTTGAATTTTGACTAAAAATCTCAAAAAAAACAAAAAAACTTTGTTTTGAATTTTGACCGGACAAAATCTAAATTTGAAGTTTGTCCAAGAAATTTCTGGTCAAACTTTAAATTTGAATTTTGTCCGGACAAATTTAAAATTTGACCAAATTTAAAGTTTGTCCACAACATACACATCAGGTGCAAGGAAAATCGCTAAATGACGTAAAATTTAAATTAAATATCTTCACATAAGACTATTATTAGTTTTTTCTTGTTCCTTTCTCTATCGATAGTCTATCAATTAGCAATCATACTATATATAGAGAGATTTCATTTCACTTTTCTGTTTTTCCTGATGATGATAAGTGTCTCTTATCGAAAGCTTGAATAAACCTTACACTGATTTTTGTTAAAAATCTAGATGATCTTTGTGGCAGTTTTATACTCAATAATATTTAAATTAATTTCTACTGCTTTACCGTCAAACTTTTTAATAAGGCCTGATTGTCGCCTACACATTTCTGATTAAAATGAGATATCTCCCAGTTCTACATGAGTTTTCTTTGCAAAGTTATAGGATTTATAAGAAACGCCCTAAGTTAATTTTTCCTTATTTCTGTAGTTTTGAGCTGACATTTAGGGCTTTTCTTGTAAATCCTATAACTTTCCAAATAAAACTCATGTAGAGCTGGGAGATGCCTTATTTTAATCAGAAATGTGCAGGTTACAATCAGACTTGGCTACAATCAGTTTCGGTTATTTTTTAGAGTTTCTCCAAAACTGGTTTTCCAAACACCGGACGCCTATTGGCAGCTGCCATGATCATATTCGGGCATCAGCATGGTCGATAACCTAATCCACTAGGTTTCGTCTCAAAAGCGATTGGACAGTTGGTGGCCTTCCCTCGTAAGTGTCGAATCGGGTTAAATTTACAAGACACAAAGAATACCTCCGGCACCGGCATTGTAACTTTTCTTTTATGTAAATATACAGAAACAATTATTTATCTAGACGTAGACATGGACGTCCTTAATTAATGTCGTCAAACAGTGACTCGTTTAGCTGCAAAATCGTTTATTCACGATTATAATCATTCAATTCAAGAATCAAAAACATTGCAAGCACGATTTAATGATTTATCAAAAGAAATCGAAACAGATAATAAAGCAAAACTCATAGCCATCTCATTAAAATACAACATTCTCTGTTCGTACACTGCATTTGTCGGTGTTGAAAAACGTTGGACCGGTGATAATTCTCGTATGCAACTACGAGAAGTACCTATTGAAATTGCTGATGATGGTAAGAATCAACGTAAGACGAGAATGAATACTGTCTTAAGCGGTGCTGTCCGCCACAGAAAATTTATGCCCAGTGCTACCTCCTCATACTGTCTGCCCGGTGATACCCTCTCATACTGTCGAAAAGAAGAAATGAAAAAGAAGCAGAAAGCGCTGATAATGAACTGCTCAAAACCCATTGTTATCGCTGGGACAATGATAAGAGGCAAAAATAGCTAGAAGAAGACACGAGAAGACAAACTGTTTGTACTGCAGAATATCGACTACGCTTGCGTTCTCGATCACCTTTAGCAGAAGAAACAGACTCGAAAAAAAAATGAGATGATGGTCTAGATGAGGAGGATATTGTTCGCCGTTGAATCAAAATGCAACAATTTAATGGCACATGGAATTTTGATGAAAAACAGTTGGAAAAATTTCTAAACGTGAGTGTTGATAAATATCAACAAATCCTAGCTTTGGGAGAAGATAAAGTGATTCTATCATCAATTATTGTTCTTGTCATGTTGAAAAAACAGTATCAAAACGATGAACAACTGTGGCAACCAATTGTTGATAAAACAAACAAATACTTATTGAAACATTTGGCCAGCAAAGATGAGTTGAATAGACTGATTGAAATGATTACGAATATTTTATAGATAGACGTTGTGTTTCTATTAAGATAAAATCTAGAAAAGAAGAAAACAAATTAGTGTTAAATACATAAACAACAACTAGAATACTTCTAAATCAACATGACGTAAATAGAGACGCCTTTTCCAAATTAACAAAACAAGACTAAATGTACACAAGCGAATAATTGATTTTCGCATCAATTATACCGTGATTCTTTTATCATGCCTTAAAATACCTCTTGAAAGAATATTTACGCTTTTTTTGACCAAGTCTTACTTTAATTCTCACAGCTCTCCCCACGATAATTTTAGTTAAATACGCTGTATTGTTTGAAATCGAGTGTCGTGTACAATTTAAAAACCGACCAGGTCTTTCCGCGACCTTCTGTCAGTAAGTCATGAGCATCCTAAATCTTACTTCAAGAAGCATAATTTCTCCGTATTTCTGTAAAACATTTATGTATTTTCATGCATATTGCCGTTTTGTAAATCGACTACGTCTCTCAACTCCATCTAATGGCCGTTTCACGAAGGGTATCTATAATACACAACGTCTCTGATTCAAGTCTCATCACCCATTGTAAAAAATTCGATCTAGTTGAAATGTACGAGCTCTTCTTCAGGTTTTTCAAAAGAATTTCAATTATGAATTAGACATGATTTGTTAGAAAGTCAGGTGTCCTCTACAGTTTCAAACCAGCTGATTATGATGACATAAGTTTCATACTGACAACCATCATTTTTTCGCTACATTATTTATTACTTTATCAACTTTTTGGCGTCTTCTAGAGCCAGCTTGCTTTTTCAAAACAAAATGACTCTCGAAGTCGCTTACGAGAAGTCCTAACGGTAGATAAAAGTTCATGTGTTCGACCCTCGAAGAAAAATATGATTGAAATGGCTGAAATTTTTTCTAGAGATGTATGAAAACATTTCTGTTATGCCTTTGTTTTTTTCTGCTTTTGTTGCAGACTCTTAAAAGGTTCAAAAGTGAAAAGCCTGTGTTTCTTTGTGGATCTTCTTCGCTATAAGTCTCAAAAGGAGGGTGTTAAGAAACAGTTTGAGAAGAAAATGTTTAAGTTCGATTGGATCGTTATCTGCAGAGCCAACGTATTTGTCAACAATAGAAGAAGGCCGATTTGTCTAAAAGTCCAGCTGCAGCAAGTTGACATAAAAAAGAGCACAGCGAAAAAAGGTCATAATATAAAATTTCTGGTACTTTTTAGAGTCCCAAATGAGAAGAAAAGTAGCCTTTAAAAACTGGCTTTTCAGCAAATTGACCTCATCCAGAGCAAAACTAAGCTAAAATATTTCCAAGGATATTAAATCATACTGTGGTTTTTAGCAAACGTATCATCAAAATGAGATGTTTGTCTGCTCTAGGCGACGCTTTAGCCCAGAAGTTATGGGATTTGTTCTAAGTGCCCTAAAATAGGCACCACGCACTAACATCACCGTATCTCAAACCCGACGTTCATCATCACAGCATTTCGTACTTGCAGAATTTCTGCTTCAGATTAAGAGCTAGAAAGGTCGGATTGATCTCAACTGAAACTAACACATTTTGCTTGAGGCTAGCAGAGCCCGATTTTTGAACCGTGATCTAGCTTTTATATATAGAAGCATCTTTGTAAAATCAGAACCGCCATCTTCGAATTTCTGATTTTTTCCGTCTGCAGAAGTTCTACAAAGCAAAATATTAAAAATCCGGTTCTATTACACTTTAAAAGTTTATGTAACTAGAAAAGTGACTAAAACCGGAATCGACCTTGTGACTAAAATTCTTAGCGACCAAATTCTCAATGACTAAAACAACTTGGCGGCTAAATTTCTCAGTGACAAAATTTAAATTGACTAAAATCCTCAGTAACTAAAAAAATGGGTACATCTCAGTGACTGAAATCGAAATCAAACTGGTGACTGATCTAGACATCTTATTTTTTAGACTGTAGCCTCTACACACATGAGTTAGCTTCAACGTTCAACGTCTCCGACCTTTCAAGCATGTAAGCTGCAGTGAATTCCTACAAATACGAACCCCCACTTTTGTCCTTGGTCGAAGCCAACTTGCGAACGACAATGAAAAGAGTTTCAAAACGTTTTCGCAGCAATATTTTGTAGTACCAACGTTCTTTGAAAGTTTCGTCGAGATCAAAAGTAAAATGACGCAAACGTTTTTAACATATGGGGCCTTCAATACTCACGAGGAAACCTCTCGAGGTGATTAAAAGCTTTTCGACTCAGACTATTTTCATCATGTAGGGAATAGTCAGCAGTGAAAAACCCCGAGTTGGTTTGGGCCCATACGCCTTTTTGACGAA